GAGGCCCCTCTGGGCTCCTTTAGCTCCCTCTGATTCTTTTTATCAATGTGCTGTCATGATCAGAAGAAGTTAGCCATTCTTGCATTCATTCATACATCGAGCGTGTCTTAGAGTTTGCTCCGTGCCAGGCTCTGTGCTGAGGGTGGGGAGTCTGGTGGGGACTTCCAGATGGGGCAGATGTAGTCCCGGCCCCAGGGAAATTCACTCCTGCTGGCACAGACAGGCGTGGCCACCAGGATTTGAACTTGGGTTAACACATGTCAGGTGTCACCAAAGAATAATAAATTCAGAGCTCTAGGAGATCCAGGGAGAGAGAGGGGGCCGTTTCCACCCGGAAGGACTGGGGGGGCTTGGCAAAGGGGGACATGACCAGCAGGGGCCAGAGGAACAGGCAGGGTCCCACCAGAGGGGCGAGAGGCGGGTGGGACGGCATGTCAGGGCGAGGGTACCGCCTTGGCAACCACACAGAAGTGGGAAGGGGCTCAGCAAGCCCAAGAAAGTCAGCTGGCCTGTGTGGGCTGCGTGAGCATCTCTGCACAGCGGGATTGAATAGACTCCGGAGCCCAACCCTGGAGACCTGGATGCAGCTGCCAAGGTCGTTCCGTGGGTAGTAGGGAGCCACAGAATATCTTCGAGCAGGAGAGTGACTTGGTCGTGCCCTTTGCCGGGGATTCAGAGAGTCAGCTATTCACTGAGGTTGAGATGGAACCAAGTCTCCTGGGGTCCCAGGCCCAATTCTTTCTCAAGAGACAATCAGTTCATTTCCACAGCAACGTGTGAGCACCTACTGTGTGCATGGTGAGGGGCTCACAGCCCAAGGTTCCCTCGAGCGCCCCTTTGCCCCCTGTGGGGTTTTGCCACACCCTGAACATTCAGGGAGGTTTTCTGGGTGGATTCTCTTTGTTCTCTCCAAGTATATCTTGGTCAATTATTGTGCATTTATACAATTAGTATAATTACATATAACTACATAATTAGCATAAATACATGTAATGGTTTAAATAGAACTTGCAATTACAACATGTCCTTGGTGTAGAAATCCTTTTTAAAGTTTCTCTTTAAAGAGGGCTGGGAGCGGTTGTGCTGCACAGGCGTGGAACTTTGTGGCGCCTTTGACCTGTTGGTGAATAGTCCAGGCTACGAGCGCATGAGGCCAAAGCAGCGGCTGCCCCAGAAACTTCGTCAGATGAGCCAGTCAGGAGCCCGGGTTGGTGGGTGAGGGTGCAGGGGTTTTTTTGTAAAGAAACAGGGACTGGTTGTAAGTCTCAGCTGTCAGTGGTGGCTTCAGGACAGTGGTGTCACGTTCCCAGTGCTCTGCGCGCCTGCTGTCGGGGCCCCTGCAGCCTGGTGGTCACCTGTAGTGCTAAGATGGCACGGGAAGGTGCTCGCTGCAGCAGCACACAGACTAAAATTGGAACGATAAGAGAAGATGAGCATGGCCCCTGTGCAAGGATGACACGCAAATTCGTGACGCGGTCCATAGTTGAAAAAAAAAAAAAAAGATGGCACAGGAAGTGCAGCGGAAGGGAACGCCGGGTTTCCCAGAGCCCCCGAAAGGCTCCTGGGCATCAGAGGAAGGACTGTGTCCGTGGCTCTCGGGCTCCAAGAGGCGTGTGTGAGGCACAGCCAGTCCTGACAGTGAGCGAGGAGAGCCATCTCTGCTGGCCAGGTGGAGCTCAGTGGGGTCAGTCAGTCCTCACAGTGCGTGAGTGACCTGTGCGTTGGGGACTGTTGGTGACCTCTTGTACTCATGGGGAAACTGAGGCCCAGACGTCATGACGGTCAGAGCCAGGAGCCACACCCAAGCAGTCTGGCCTCGACACCTGCTCCAGGCCCCCTAAGCCTGTGCCACGCTGGCTTCCTCCACCTTGGTCACGTAAAGGGGTTGAGGACAGTCATGGAGAGGCTGACTTCTGTCTCAGGCTCTCCTCCTGCCCTGATTTACCCACAGGCAGCGCCCAGCCTTTCCTCCAAATAATGATTAGCGTGAAAGGGTCCCTAGCACTCACCTTCCCAGGCATTACAAGGCTGGCTTCACCCTCCTCCGGGGCGCCTGCACTTCCAAAAGATTCCAGAGGGTCAGTGGACCACGGGGCCATATTGCCACTCCTGTATCCCTCTTTGCTGTGGCTGCTAGGGAGCTCACAGCCAAGTTCATGGCCTACCTCCACAAATCATGTAGGACCTCTGGCCTGCCGTATGAAGACAGACCTTATCTGCCTTTGTCTTATTTTTCTACGTTTATTCTTCCTTTCCTTACTTCCTTGTTTATTTTGTTTGCTATTTAAATGTGTTGTACGCATGCACTACAAATCCTCCTTCTGGGACCGGAAAGGATATCAGTCATGAGTGCTAATTTCAGGTGTGTTCTGCTCTTCCTATGACAAAAGTCAAAACCTTCTCTGAAGGACCCAGCATAGCTTCCCATCTTATGGTTGACAGTACCCCACTCACTCCTGAAGGACACCAAATGGCCCCACACCCAGGGGTCCCCGGGGCTCTGACACATCCTTGCACCAGGTACGTGCGGGACGCACACGTGTATGGCTGTCCTGTTGTACCCACACAGCCACCCACGGAGANTACAGAGTAGCCTCCAGGGCAGCCCGTCCATGGCCCCTCCCTGGGCCCTCAGCACAGCCCGACCACAGCAGAGACAGGTTTAAAGCCAGTCACATTCCCTGGAACAATCTGATCACAGCCAAAGCCACCGAGAACCACCAAGGTCTGGACCAGCGTGGCCTGAGTGGTAGAGCCACCCTTCTGGAATGTACCGGAAACTTTCATCTCCACGTGATGCTTTGGCTATTCCTTGTCTATCTAGCACCAAGGTTCCTGGGTGCCAAAAGTGGGGTGTAGGGAGCCCTTGGTTCCCCACCTGACTCCAGAACCAGCTGAGAAAGAAGATGCAGGAGACAGATGTGGACAAGCACATGTCCACTTTGTTACTGATTTGCCCCAGCGTGGGGTCCCTAACATGTCCTTCCTGAGGATGACCGATGTCCCCACGGGGGACAGGGGTGCACTCCGACCTGGTGAGGGACAGAGCCTTTGCTGACTTTTGTCCCCGCTGACCCACCTCTCCCCTGCCCTGCGTCCCCTGTATCTGTCCCCGTTTCTGCCTCTGGCCAGGGGTGTCCAGTGGGAGTCAGGAGCCTGGGTGGGGAGCCTGTCCCGGGTGAGCCCTGGGCAGGGATGTGGCCGACGAGGGTTCCTCATGATCAGTGGTTTGGTGGTGTTTTGTGTTCCCTGCAGAGGAAGCGGCTGGCATCCAACTATCTCAACACCCCCCTGTTCCTCACAGCACGAGGTAAGCGCGGTGGGGCTGTGGCTTCTGCCAGGGNAAGTGGAGGCCAGAGAAGTTGACCCACTCGCCCGGGGGCACACAGCCGGTCAGTGCCAGGCCCAGCCTGGGATCCAGGTCTCCTAACACCCAGCCCAGTGTTCTCCCTGGCTCTAACCGCGCCAGCTCGAGTCATTTGATCAAGTGCAAACGCCCACCCGCTTAATCTGGATCCCAGAAGGAAGACTAATTTGCTTTTCCTTCTTAAAACCGAGGGGAGGAAGGGAATGCACTGAGTACCATAGTGCCCGAGCCACCTACAGCCTTGAACCTGAGATGGAGGTTGTCACTGAGGCCCAGGGAAGGGACCTGGCAGGGTCACACAGCCCCTCGGGGCCAGGCCTCCCGCTGCACCGCTCAGCCCCATGTGCTTCGGGCCGTGGGCCTAGGCCTGTCCACAGCGACCTCCCTTTGCGTCCCCCGGGGACTTGCTCTCCGGAGGCGGCGGAGGCATAGACGTGGTGGGGAAGGAGAGGGACACGGCTCAGCCTCCCAGACCCCCAAGCTCCTGGCACCATCGGGCGCGGCAGTCCCATCTGGTCCCATCTGAGTGTGGCCCCCCTCTCCTTCTGCAGAGCAGGGTTGGAAGGCGTCTCTGAGCTTTCCATCTCCTGTTTGAACTTGAGTGTAAGGAGTCCAGCTTTGTGTGGCCGCCTTTGGGAGCTGTTTATGCTCCGACGTAGGAGCCATGGAGGCAGCGTGGGGACTGGCCCAGCTGTCACGGTTGTGCTCAGCTCAGCGCTGGGTGACCTTGGGGCAAACTCCTTCCCCACGCTGACCCTCAGTGTCCTCAGCTACATGAGGACAACTGCATCTTCAAATTTGCAGGGTTGTTGTGGGGACTGAGATCAAAGGGCTTTGCTAATATATTTGTGATGTTATGATTTATATAAACAGTCCTCATTTTGATAACGCTCCCCCGCCCGTCATACCGTAAATAGTTATTTATTTGGACCCTGTCTTCTTCTGTAGAAGGTCCAAGATACCTTACAGAAAACACACGAATAACATTTTAAAAGTTTTAAATGAAAAATCAGGTCCAAGAGGCAGAGATTAGAAAATAAAGTCGGGGCGGCCAGTTAGCTCAGGTGGTTAGAGCGCAGGCTCATAACACCAAGGCTGCCGCTGCGACCCCCCCATGGGCACCTCGATACACGGAGCTGCGCCCTCCACAGCTAGATTGAAACAACTGCTTGAGTTGGCGCTGATGGGTCCTGGAAAAACACACTGTTCCCCAGTAAAAAAAATTAAAAATTATGTCAGAACAACTACATACAACAGCACGTCACAGGTCCCACCTGGTGGTCACAGTGGAAGGAAGAGACAGAGAGACAGACAGACACGGAGAGAGAGGGAGGAGAAACTGTGCAGTGGTCATTGTCACTGCATGAAGGACACGCCAGCCTCCTGGAAGAATTCGGGGGCTCCCTGGGGGCAGAGCCTACCTGAGCGGCAGGTGTGCCTCTGGTCTCCCCAGGATCGTAGCCTTATTCTGTCCCTCAGCCAGGCCAGCGTCTGACCAACAGGCACCTGTTGTCCCAAGGGCCCCAAGAGAGAACACTGGGCCGGATGATGGCACACAGGGGACCCCGTGCTGAGGGTGGGTGCCTGGATTCCAGGTACCTGCCAATTGTTCCTTCAGCCTGAGGTCAGCAGATCCGTCCTGTCTCAGAGTGAATGGTGCCTGGAGGCCCCAACCCACCTGGGGCCACCACGGGGCGTGGATGTTATGCAGACAGAGGCCGCCGGGCAGGCGGGGACGGTTGTGCCCAGGGCTTGTGGAGGAAGTGTGCAGGGTTCCCAGGCAGGAAGGCTCCAGTAACCGCTGTGCCTGTGCCTTTCCAGAAATCCAGAGCAAGCGCCAAGAGCGGAAGAGAAGGAGCACAGCCAACCCCGCCTACAGTGGCCTCCTGGAGCCGGAGGTGAGCCCGGCGGCTGGCACTGCCCCGGGGAGGGAAGGCTCCCTGGGACTGGCCGCCCTCACCTGCCCTCCTGGGATGGGAGTTCAGGGGGTGACAATAACTAGTCATTCTTCACACGCTGAGTTCAGAATCACTAGGGAGACGGTGCAGGAGATCCAAATGTCTGTCGTATTCCTCACAAGAGCTGCATGGGGCATGTGGCTTGGCTGCAGGGTACAGCGACTTCCTGATTCTTCGCCCAATTATCAGGCATGTTGCCCAGCCACAGGTAGCGGGGTGCGACACCCTGGAATTGCCCGCTCTACTGGAAGCAGTTTCCTGAGGGCCCCGAAGTCCAAAGCTGGGGGCAGCCTTGCTAAGCGCAGTGACGTCCCCAGAGGCCAGTGTCTGGCACATTCCAGACTCGAGCTGTCATTGCCAGAGGCCATGAGGCCATCGAGGAGGGTCAAGAAAGTTCCATTCTCGCCTCCCTGGGGTGTTGGTCAGTCTGGGCCAGTTGCCCCAAATCCACAGCTGGTGAACAGGGAGGGAGGGTGGCTCTCCCACCGAGCGGTGGCCCCTGCCATTGCCTTGGCGGGGGGGCCCCCATGTGCCGGCGTCCGCCTCTGGCTTCACGACCTGCCCACTTTGCCTGGTTTGTACCCCCTGCTCCCCTGCGCCCCCCCACCCCCTGCTCAGTGAACACGCCGGAAGTGCATTTTCATACCCGCCCACTTCTCCTCNGGGGTGGGGTGGGGGGGAATATTAACGTACAAACATCAGTAGCCTTTACAGAGACACACATCCACCTGTTAGTAGAAGTTTTATAGATAACCCCATTTACAATAGCAACCAAAAGATTAAATGCCTAGGAGTAATCATAATAAAAATATTCAATACGCACTTGAATCGATTAAAACCCCTGAAGACAAAAAGAGAGCAGAGAGGCCCACCGTGGTATGGACAGGAAAATTTAATATTATAAAGTTGTCATTATGCCGTAAGTTCATTTATAATTTTAACATCGCCTCAGTAAATACACCAGCTGTTCCCGCATTCTCAGAACTCCTTAGGATGGTTTCTGAATTTCGCATGAAGAAATGAGCAAAGCCAAGGAAATTGAACAGGGAAACGGAAGGGATTCTAATCTGACCGGATTACTGTAAAACCTTCATAATTTAAAGTGTGGCACTAGCTTGTGAATAAATAGGCAGATTTAAGGAGCAGAATAGAAGGCACAGAAATTGTGTGTATGTGTGTGTGTGTGTGTGTGTGTGTGTTTGTGTGTACATACACATGAATATGCTAATTTAGTATACGATTAAAATGGCTCCTTAAATCAGTGAAAAGTGGGAAGATGGAATTTTCCATAAATAGGAACAGAACAAATGAGTGGTCCTGTGGAAAAAAAAGAATCCATACTTCATACCATATACACCAAGATCATTTCCACATGGAACAAAAATCTAAATGTAAAATGTGAAACTAATGGCACTAAAGCAAAGCACAGGCAACTTGCTTTATAACCTGTCTCTAGCCAAGATTCAAACATCCAAACGCTGCACGGGAAAACGCTGATAAATTCCACTACATAGAAACTTTTAAAAGTCTACATGCTCAAACAACGCCCCCGTGGAGCCTAATTCGCAGCTCTGTAATGTGAGCTGCGCGTCCGAGTGACTTCCTCCCAAAGAGGACAGAGTGGAAAGGAGGAAAAGTCCCAGTGGAGACGCCTGACAGACACACCTCAGCCAGGTGGTCAAGGTCAGCGTCACAGCGAGAGTCATGTTGACAGTCGGTGCCCCTGTTAGGACGTGACGAGAAAGGCAGTTCCCCTCTATGGTTTTCCTCCCCCAAACCCATGACCCCAGTCTAAGCCTGAGAAAAACATCCGACAAAGCCCAGCCGAGGGGCATCCTATGAAATGCCTGCCCAGTCCTCAAAACTGCCAAGGCCACCAAAAACAAGGAAAGCCTGAGACACTGTCACAGCTCAGAGGGACCAAGGAGACATGATGACCGGATGTCACGTGGGAGCCTGAATGGGATTCTGGGTCAGAGAAAGGCCATTAGATTAAACTAAGGAAACCAGACTAGATAAGCCAGCCTCATCAGCAGGTGCTCAGNAATAAATAAATAAAGTCACCTCCATCTATCAGGTGGGATTAATAAAAGCAAATCTAGAAGGCTAGAAATCTATGTTGAAAGATAAAATGTCATGAAAACTACTAGGGCAAAACCACAGATTACCCACGAAGGAATGACAGACACGCTGTGGGCTTCCAACAGCAGCCCCAGAATACAACAGAGGAACATCTGCAAACTGCTAGGAAGAAGTAACCGCCCGTCGTACCCAGTGAAATCATTTATCAGGAGCAAGATAGAGACATAGAAAGACTAATGAGAGTTTTATCACTCTCAGACCATTATTAAAACAACTGTTTTAAAAACAAACAAAATAAAACCCTGTGCTTTAGCAAGAAGATGGGTGAGGCCAGGGCAGTAGGTGTGAGAAGCCACTGTGAGCACAGCAATTATTAAATGACAGGTAAATTTATTTAAGCATAGACTACAAAAAAATACCCAGTTTTGTTTTGTTTGTTTGTTTGTTTTTAAAAAGGTAAAAGGAAAATTCTAGGCAACAATAACATGTTGATAGGTGGTGATGTTTTAGAGGAAGTTAGAACGTGCTAAGGACAATGTTATTTGGGGAAGAAAGAAATGTTGACAAACTTTAGACGTCATTAGAAAAATGTATAGTTAAGAACATGTGTGAAACGTCTAGGTTAATCACTGAAAATAATAAAATGCCACCTATAATTTTCAAATCAGTAAAGGGAAAAAGTGAACATGGGACTTGTTTTTTTCAAGAAGACAGGAAAAGAGGTAAAAAGAAAGGATGACAAACTGGAAATACAGAATAAAATGGAGAAAATAAGTTCACAAATAATCAGTAACCATAATCAAATGAAATAAGATTCTACTCTTAAAGAGTAGAAATAAAAAGAAAACAAAGAGTTCAGAATAACAAGATCCAGTTATATTTTGTTCGTAAGAGGCCTACCTCAATAAAGCCCATACAGAAAGGTTGAAATACAGGACCAGAAAAGATGTATTATGTAAATACTAAAGGAACACCCATCAAGATGACTTAACAGTCTGAAGTTGTATGCCCCGTGACTGCATAGCTGCCAGGTATGTAAACAGATGGCCAAATTATAAGGCAAGTTTGACAAATCCACAAAACGTGGGGTTTGGAACACATGTTCCTTAGAAACTAACAGATCCAGCAGAGCAAAAAGACTTGGCTGAGCTTCCGGTAGAAGAAATAAGA